CCCCAAAACCCCAAAACCCCAAAACCCCAAAACCCCAAAACCCCAAAACCCCAAAACCCCTTTCAAGTTTTGTATTTTTGAAATATCGATAAATAAGGTAACTTGCTATGGCCTAAACTCTGTATAACGCAGGAGCGTCAATTGTTCTGGTAATATCTGACCTCACATGTCTATAAGCTCCTGCATCTGTGGATTTTTTATGATAATAATGCTCTCCTTTGCCTAGACACAATGAATTAGCATTATCATATGGTTTTGTCTGATCGGTACCAGCAAGCCCGTTCTTTGTAGCTTCAATAGCATTATCCTTCTTGTATATCCATGTTCTCTGAATCTCTGTATGCTCCTGAGGATCAGCAGAGGTATTATATACTTCTCCAGTGAGACCAGTCAACTTCTTGATTCCACTCTTTGTTTCATAATTCCTTTCTCCGGCATTATCTCCTTCAGTATGGTTAAAATTAACTGTTGTTTCTGCTGCACTAAATTTCTTTGGCTCACCGTAGAACTCCATATTGGTTGTATTGAAGTAAGGCTTATCATGATCCTTATCAAAACGTTTAATTGTAGCTCCAAAGCCTCTTTCTGGACCTGATATCGGCCTATCCACTAGAGAAAGCTCTGCTATGTTATACTTATTGATCATTCTTAATTTCTTCTTTTCTTCAACTTTGACCTTATCTGGATGCACAAGCTCGGTTTTATTAATAGATTTCATCTCCTTGAAGCCATCATTGGGAATAATATCTTTGGTATTCCAAGGATAGTTCCTCTTGATCCTCTTTAGAGGAGCTGGGACACCATTGGCACCAAGCATGTTGATATCTGGCTCGACATTTCTCATTAATTTCTCATCAGGTTTGCTCTGTAACTTCTGTTCTGGAGCTATTCTCTGTTCATACCAGTTATCGTTCAACACACCTGATGAGAACTTGTAGGTGTGGCTAGGAAGTCCACTTTCGAGCATTTTATTCTGAATAAATTAATATACAATTTGAATTATTTCCTAAGGGGTTTTGGGGTTTTGGGGTTTTGGGGTTTTGGGG